GGAGATGGTGTCAGGTACCCTCTCAGATTGAAAGTGACTGGCAGCTGAGTTTTGATAAATGTCATATTTGTTTGAATTTTTCCTAACAAATTGTGACTTTTTTTGTGGAGAGAAATGTTGTTGTTTTTGTTTGATTGGGGAAAATACAGTTTTTAGTGCTGTTGCTGTTGAAACGTATAAATGATCGAACGAACGAAACGTAAGCAAATCAACAAATTCACGTGATTGAACGGGATACTGTGAGAAATTCCCATGGTACATGACTTAAAGTAATAGCATGTAGCCTTTCTGTATTGTATTCATTTTTTAATCACGTAAACAATGGCTGGGACAGTGCCCAACATATAGTGTCCATCCGGCGCTAAAGCCTCAAAGGGCTTTAAACGGGCATTTCGCAGTCTGGCGAACATAGTGAGATTCAACAAGCTCACACGATCATTTGGATGGGATACTTGGAGACATATCCGCAGTATATCTGGTGCTTAAGCCTCAAAGGGAAAAACTGATATTCCTCCGTCTAGGGAACATGGTGAACAGACATTTTGGCCTCTGTGGTCCAGAAACGTTCGAAAATGTTAAAAAGTAAGTAAAAACTTGTATATTATAAAGCATGACAACTACCTGGAATCACGAAACAAACTTGACACTGCCTGTAAGACTGATTTGAGACGGTTCGCTTGTAACATGGACGTCCATGCTTGGAAAAAGACAGTATCTAAATAGAGTTGATATTAATATCGGTCGAATGCAGAGTGATAGTTCCACCAATGGAAATTGGTTTGTGCCACGTGATGTAAAATTTCTAGTAGACCAATGAAAACAGTAATAAACAGACACGTAATAACCTGGCACGCAATCAGGTTTCCGGGTGACATAAATAAATGTTTCGTAAATCTGAAGTTAAAATGAAAATAAATGCAGTTTGAAAATTGGATAGTAAAACCGTTTGTATTATTTGATTACAGTTTCCCGGGTAACCAATATTAATGATGTAATTTACCCTGATGAGGAAACAGACGGCAAAGGACAAAAACTGTATTACGGTAATTCCATGAGCAGTTTTTGAAAGTAATTTGAAGTACTCCCAAAAACGCAATTTATGGCACATGACTTAAAAACGCATTGTAATGCCATTGAATATCAGGACGAACATTTCAAATGTTATAGTTATCTGAATTACCACGGCGATAGCTAGGGAAAATGCGACCGAATAGTTTTCAGCAAGATTACAAGTACCCCCCCCCCCAATGTCATTTAAGGCAACACTTGAATGTCTTTCCGATCAAAAAAAGGCCGAGGCCAAAAAAAATTAAATTTGCCCATTTGAAAATAATTTACTAAACAGGGCAGCTAACTTTAAAAACTTGCCTGCCATGTTAAAAACTTACCAGCCGTGCTTATGTTTTAAATATGTTATCAGTGTCTCTACAGTGACGACTTTCATTCAAGTAAGAAAATCTGATTCATAATCCAGCTCTATAAAAGGTCGGGCCAACTGTAACTCTCGCATATTGTGAGAGTTCACTGAAATCACGCATATTGTGAGAGTTCACTGAAGTAACGCATTGCGCGTGAGTTAGCTAAATTGTTCAAGTTGTTGTTTTACATGTTGCATGTGTCAAAACGGTCGCATCTAGGTACATAATTTTGACAACAATCATACATTCCTAGATATTTTGTGATTTTTGTAAAAAGTAATATTTTATTTATTTTACCAAAAAATCTGCCCGACTGAACAGTTACTCGTGTCGGACGTACGGGCGGGCAGTAATTTCAAACACTGCAAACTTCCATGATTTATTTGGTGATATCAGCCAAGCGGATAGATAGGTTATTCATTAGAGGGGCTCGGCGAACCAAAATTTAGCGTGAATGCCATTCCGAGCGTGGGAAGATCGAGGTCGGAAAAAAAATTGCGCAATCTTTTATTCATGATTTTTTGTTTATGTATCATTGATTCAGTCCAGCGGTTAGATGGGTTATTTATCAGAGGCGACAGGAAACCAAAATTTGAAACGTGAATTACTTAGGCGACGAATCAGTGATAATAACTACGGTTACTATATATAATACGACCCGGACACTCGCAAAGGCTCTGTGGTAAAGACCATGTACTTCTTTTGGTGGATGTGTAGAGTTAATTCCCCCATGCCCCTTTCATGTTTACGTGCAATTTTGACCCATAATTATCAAACATGAAGGTCAATCTTCGATCTTGGCTTTGGAAGCTAGCTAAGCCTATTTTCTACATGATCCATAAATGCGAGAAATGTCTGATATCCCGCATTAAGATAGGAGCCTGCTCATAAATTAAAAACCCCAGAATTGATTCATTTTGCAACAAACTGTACTACAAGGCAGTATAGGGATATTGACTTAAAAAAATTGGGGATCACCAGCCTTATTTTCGAGATATTTATGGTTTTATTTTAGTGCAATTTTTTTAAATCTGGGTTTTAAAAAGTGTCAAAAAATACAATTTTTCTTTAACATTGTGTTCTATGGAATTGTTCTAAAAATAGCAATATTCAAGAAATATTAGGACACGTTTATCAAAAGCTTAACTGTAACACACAACAAAATGCTATTTCATTGTACCATGAGACATTAGCTTCATGATTGTACATAATAAACTAATGAACATTGTCATGCGATTTATGACCAATTTTGTCAAAAATTGTGAGTAGGCTTCTACCTTAATGCAATTTGTTTCTGTGATTTTGTTTTCATTTCCTTTCCGATGCATTGAAAGCGTTTCAAATAAAATAAGGACGTTATGTATACTAGTATACTAGTATATATATACACATGAAAAGCGCCATCTATAGCTTAAACGTGTTATTCATTGTGCATTGAAAATTGTGAAAATGTCGTATTTTTTATCACTACTGACAGAATACTTTAAAAGCATTATTTTAATTTATCAATAATATTAACTACCGGCAGTTAATTCCAGCCGGCCAATCAGCGAGCATAGTGCACAATAACGTCGATTGCAAACGTTCCAATGTTATTCTACCAGTTAATAAAAATCTCTCGTTTCAGTTCATGGATTTTTCAGTGAAACAATAAGTACTATATCATTTTTTTTCTGTTGGTGCGTATTTAATTAATCGGATTTCACTTCAAAATAATGAAATTAAAATTCACTGAACAATTAATGCATTTACTATACTATCTCTGTCATTAGTAAATATAGTAAATTGAGATTTTTGATTTAATCTTCAAAATTTGCAAAATATCTCAAGATGAAATAGGAAAAAATTACATAACGATGTATATGGAGAATGTTTTATGTTCTCAATTATCATATTTACTAATACTTAACAGCAAAAATCCAATGAGCACTAAGGTTTACAGTGTGTTGTGAACTATATGAGCGTTCGTTCAATACACGGAAGTTCCCTACATATACACACAATGCATCATGGGAAGCCAATGACGTCGCGTATTTAATAACAAAGAAAATACCCGGATGGTTAACGTCATACACCACAACGGGTTTTCTGACTAATTCCAGTGAGAAGAAATTACATATTTCATTTCTATTTTACCACTCTCTGGTGCATTTTTTTCTTATTTATATTGATTTACATAGTGATCCGGTATGTCGACTCCTGCTAGAAGGCGGTTAATGAGAGATTTTAAAAGGTAAATTGTCTATTCGAAGAGCAGATTGTCTTGGGTTCGTGGTTTGTTTTGGCCGGTGAAGGGAAACCAATATGGCGGATTTTCCCTCAGTTACATCATATACGATTTTTTACCTTTATTTTCTTCACATCTGATTATATCATGTTTAATGGCTTTATATTTAGGCTCCAAGAAGACCCGCCTGCAGGTGTTAGTGGTGCTCCTTCAGAAAATAACATAATGCTCTGGAATGCCGTGATATTTGGGTAAGTTTATATCCATTATGCGTCGGCTGCGCAAAATCTTACTGTCTCACCGACCGTATATCAAACAAGATAGTATACGTATATTGTGATTATTCATCTTCAAACATTCTTCGATTTATATACGCTGTACTTTGTGTTCTCGGTTTTCACCTTTATGTTACGAATGCGAAAAGCTATTCGTCGTTCGCCGTCCTATATTAAAATTGACCTTTGTCCTTTGTACTCACCTTTAAATTAAAAAAAAAACACTAGCGTTTTCAGTCTGTTCCATTTTAATGGTTTCACCCTGCTGGTGTAATTAGTTTTCGTTTCACTGAAACATAGCATTTGGTGTAGGAAATTCAATTTTTGTACGCAAATCTTACTGAAACTTGGTATACACAAATGTCAATAAATGACGCACTTCATTCTTTACATATCCTTGAAGAACTTTCTGCCACGTTACATGTTTCTTCGCCCCCCCCTAAAATATTGTTTGATTCATACAACAACTTATCACTGTAGAAAATCTGTGCCAGAAAAAATATATTTTAAAACTTGTACAAAGTTAGTAATATCTTTCTACAAAACTGATTTAGCATCTGACATTTGTGTGTGTAAATAACAAAAAGGGAAAAATAATTGTATTCATATAATCAACACCCTGGGAAGTTAATGTTTATTAATGTAAATTGTAATTTCAACTGCTTGTACATTTTTATGGCAAAGCTTTATTTTTTCTGATCAGGCAGGAAGTTTGTTTAATCTTGTTTTTAGTCATTGACAGAGTGACACTTATATTTGATTACTAATGACATTTCAATGTATTTACTACATTTTGACATTGAATCACAACAGCACAACACATGCCACAGCTACAGTGTATGGAGTTAATGTTTGTTTTTGTTGAATTTTGTTTCAGGCCTCATGACACACCTTTTGAAGATGGTAAGAAATATTTCTTTTTCTCTGTGCTATAGAAACTACTGTTAATTATTTAGTTTTGCTTATTTCGCTGACTGGAAAATGCGCTAAGTTAAAACCTAGTGATTATGTAAAATTTAGCATAGAACACATCTAAATGATAAAACCATAAATTTAAAACCCACTGAATATGCCTGAAATGGTAAATCAGTGAAATTTAAACCCAGTGAAAATTAGGCATTTTACAGTACCTTTAAACTCAATGGTCAACTACTACAAAGTTTTTCCCACATGTTTTGTCTCTTTAATAAATATTTTGAGGTTTGAGTGGAATTGAAGATTTTGTGCCATTATCTTCCTGTTTTTATTATTATCATAGGTTAATGCCATCAGAATACAAAAAATAAAAAAACAATTGGGGTCACCAGACAATTTTTCGAGAAATAAGAGACTGAAAAGACATGGAAAATAGTCCGAATTTACATTTTTGCACTGATTTCTGTGGTGACTCGGTTATTGCTTCATATCTTGAAATTGTGTTAGGTGTCATGGAATGGGATGGAAAGATTTGTTATGAATCCCAATATTGTTAAAATAAATTGTCATTTCCCTTAAGTTTTCTGTGTGAATAATAGTTTTCAATACACTGGGAACTTTAGTCACATAATGCTAAATCAATAGACATGTGCAATGATATGCTTGAAGAAGTGCAAAGTTTGGGTGACCCAAATTCTTGTTCATTTATATTTTGTCTAGTTGACTCTCTGTGGATAAAATCTCTACACATACACAATTTATTATCATAACTGTGGCATAAAATTACTGCTGTATTATTCATAGTCTCTTATCTTCAATTTGGGACCTAGTAGTGACCTAAAACAACTTGACTTCATGGGAACAGCTAGACTTGAAAGGATCTTATCTCCATTTTTCAGAGTCAATTATAAATCCTACAGTATCTTTGAAAAGCGTTTTTCCAAGAGCTGTAAAATCTGTGAGGCTCATTGTTTTGTTTTCAAGTATCGTTCCTGTCTGGCACATGCATTCATCCGCCTTGATGCCAAAACTTCTGATAAAAGTAACAAGCTGGTGGTGTGAAGTATATGATTTTTCGTTTTAAAAAAATTGTCTCATGTAATTATTTTTATTAACAATCTGTATTTGTGTATTTTTACACTGAAAAGTCCAATACTGATAATTGCAACAGTGACTCTCCATTGCATTGCAATGCAGTCAGCTGATACTGTTGTGGTGTGGTTAGTGTTATAAAATAGATCATTGACTCAGTTTTGAGGTGCTGTTGAGGAAAAGATGCATGTTATTATAGATTTCATCTTATTTTGATAACAATCTCGTAGATTTTGCCAGCTTAACAGAAAATTCTTATCACAGAATGACAAAACTGACAATATAATGATAAATCAGTTATTTTCACGGATAAACTTGTTTAACTGATCCTGGCAAGTATACATTTCATTTGGCCATTTTTACTTCGAATTTTGTTGCACTTTTATTTTATACTTAATTTATTTCACTTGATACACAATGGATATTGGTTACATATTATATGTAATACAAAATTACAAAAGATATTAAATATAGACCACATTGTCTTGAGTTGCAGTAAATGATTTAAATAAGTTTTGAACTGCAGTTAGATCTGTCACATTAATTTCATTTGAAATAACAATAATACAGTTACGTTGGCTTATAATGTTACAGTTACTACGTTCACGTTACAGGATCTCGGCACATGCCGAAATTTTTAATCCGTTGTGTTTGCAGAGGGATTACAGCGGTTGCGTTCACGTTATTCGGGGCCCACTTAGGACTGAGTCGGCTCGTGCCGAAATCACGCCTTCATTCGTCTATCTGTTGGCCCAAACATGGAAAACGATACGCATATGATAATAATAATAATAATTGTTATAGTGAAATTATATCCATTTATTACTATGGTGTTTATTACGAGCCATCGTGTACATAAACGGCAAAGAAGATTCGAAACACAATTATTTGTTTCATGTCAATTTAGTATTGCAAGAAAATAGCGGTTGCAGCAGCACATAAATAAGCGTCGCTGACGACTGTTTGCACTCATTTCATTCATTCCTACAGCATCCGATCATATACTAGTAGTATATCTGAATTTCCTATCATCGTCATTTCATACTAGTATGAATCAGCTTATGTTTTCTTAGATTTACCACCGAGGGCGTGATTTCGGCTCGTGCCGAGCGTTCAGGCAGCAAATCTCGGCACGTGCCGAGTTTCGGTCCCAAGCATCTATCAGGACCGAGATCGAGTTCTTTTCAGCACGTGCCGACTCGGTCCCGACCGTTCACACACAAGTTTCGGCACGTGCCGACTCGGTCCCGAGTCTCGGCACATGCCGAGATCTCTAACGTGAACGCCACTATTGACAGTTTTTTTTTATGAGGAGGTACTAAATTAGGTTATGTAATTATGCAGATTAGAATTAGGCATCATGGATGTCACTTGTTACTGTGTGAATGAAATTAGTTAATTCGTCTTACTGCAATTTACCATTTTCTCAGTTATTATGCATATCTGACCCATTTCTATATGTCCATTGAAACAAATTAAGAACAGCAAAAATTTAACATAAATGCAATGGAATTTTTATGGGAAGCTTTCAAAGATAAAATATTTACAGGTACAAAAGGTCAGTCACTCTCCGTGGCTGTACAATGAAAAAAACGCCAAACATTTTTTATGCACCAGCATTTCAAAAGTAAAGTGAACTATTTTTCAGAGATCATCTATTCCTTAACAATCCGACACAAATGTAGATCCCTTAGTAAGTTAAAAATTGCACCAAAATTGGCAACACTATATTTTTTCAAAACATCGGGGGGGGGGGGGTTAATGCACTTCCTGCTGCCATCTTGCTCACCTCAATCGGTATTACTTTTGTCCCCCAGCATGCATCGGCCATGACATCACATTATGCCTTTTGTTGTTTTATTCGTTCATCTATACGAAGGCACTCTATGAATAAGGTATTTCCCAGGATCCGGGTTTGTGATTCAGACAAAATAATTGAAGACATGTTACGGTAAAGCCAGTGTCAGTAACGTGTCTTGTTATTTGTGTGTAGCTGTAAAACTAAAGCAGATAAAAAAAAACTGAGACGTGATCCTCTAGCCTACAGCGTTTTCAATGCTCAGACCATTGGCATGATTAAAATATGTTAAAATGAGTTGGAATAGTAAAAAGGGCACAATATTGAAATTTGCTGTTTGATAATCCCTTAGATAAACATTGGCATGATATATGCACTACCATATTTGCCTGTGTATCTAAGCTTTCAGATGAAATATAGGTTGTTAAAGTACATGCAAATAACTTGTAGAGAATGTCTGAATTACTGAACAATTCTTTACACTCTTCACCCCTGTTGCTACCTTAATGTATTTGATTGTTTTAAATTTGTGCTAGACGAGACTGACAATCCAATGATTTAATTTTTAGCATCATGGGCGTAAGGGCTAGCGACACTGGCAAGTGTCCATACACAACGGGAATATAATGCTTTAAAGTCCTTGGGAGAACACTGTTGCCAATAACACATCTTAACTCAAACTGTATTTATGTAGTTAAGTTGGACGTTCTCCAATCCAACATTCTTTTTGCAAGAAGGAATTTATATGTAAACTAAAGATCAGCAGATCAGTTTGCACTATGTACCCTTGTATACATGTATGTTAAATTAATTACTAATTTAGTGGCTACCACAGTCTCAATAATCCTCTAATATTATTTCTTATAGCAAATTCAAAAGTAGTAACTCCATAACCCACACCTAGCCCTATCAACCTGTTGCCTGTCATGAAGAATTGAATAAACTTAAAATTCTGTTTATAGAATTGTGCTTTCGACCTGTCAACTCTTATTTGAAGTTTGCTCTACTAAAAGTTCACTGACTCGCAGTGGTATCATTTTGTAATATTCAAGTAGTAGTGCTTTTAACAAAATAAATCGTAGTCACCTAGTGACAATTGATACAGTAAAGGTGATTAACATAATATTGTTATGCAAATTAGCCAATAATGTTGCTATTTTCATATGTCCTATTGTAACTTTAGATAAACAATACAGCTTAATTTTCAGGGGAGGAATGCAATGGGTGTCATTAATAATGTCATTAATGGTGATATTTATCATTGGCAACTAAATATTGGTTCAGGCTAAATACCCTACCTGATAACTACTGTAGAATTCTTTATTTTCGCTTGGAATTTATTTTCGCTATTTTCGCTGAAGGGATGATTCCGTGAAAATAAAATCCAGCGAATATACTTTTTTTCCTATATTTTACATTAAACTCATCAAAAATCAGTGAAAATAAATTCCATACAAAATGCCCAAAAAGCCTTTTCAGCGAAAATTAATTCCAGCGAAAATAAAGTATTCCACAGTATATACTTAAATGTGCTCTCGATGAAGCAGTTAAGAATAATTCTAGTTGGATAAAACATATTGAAAATATAATGGGCCACAATGACTTTGAAACAATAAAATTAAACCATAAAGTAAATAACATTGATCAAATCTCAAATGTTGTTAAAATAAAACTCACAAAAGATTATGAAAAATTATGAAATAAAGCTTAAATTCTCCTCACAGTAAAAATGGTAAAGATGGCAATAAAATGAGAACATATAAATTGTTTAAATCGTTTTTGAAAATAGAAACTTACCTGACCGAAATAACAAACTTCAGCCTTCGGAGAATTGAGAGTAAATTTAGGCTTAGTGATCATAACTGAGAAATTGAAAGAGGCAGACAACAACGACCAACAATTCCTGCGGATGAGCGATTTTGTAAAAAATGTCATACAAATTCAGTTGAGGACGAACAACATTTTATCCTAGATTGTGAATTTCTCGATAAAGAATGAGGGGAGCTGTTTCAAGAAATAGGAATTAAAAATAAACTAAATAAAACAGACAATTTCATTAAAATAATGACGTGCTTCATACCCCTGACAAAGTTTCTAAATA